GATTGTTCCAACCCGGTTTTTAACGGCGTTCATGTATTTTGGGTATCTAGAGACCTAAGTATGGGGACGTTTCTAATTCTAGAGTGGGGGGATATTTTAGTAGTAGCCTTTAAGCTGTAACGGGTCGTAGTCTCATGTCACAAGCGAACCGAACTGGCTCCGACCGTTCTTGAGGTGGGAAAACACAAGAGATAGTGTCCCTGACCCTTGAGCCAGTGGTTATAGGGCCTATTTTTCTTAAGCCTCATGTGTGACTGCAGTAGACGAATGTTACAGTCGCAAGAGGAGGAGATGGAGCATTGACAATTGGCCGAAAAACAGGATGCAAAAAGAAAGAAAATTAGAAGAATTTAGAAATTTTAGAACTTCTAAACGACGGAAAAAGAAGAAACAAAGAAGTGACGAAAGAGAAGAAGTTAAAACTCAGAATTGTTTTATGTGTGTGACGAAAACTCAAGTGAGAAACTAAGCAACCAAGTTGTGATTGAAAACTGAATCATTAAGTTGAGTTTTGAACATTAAAGATATTGTTGCATTTATAAGTTTGTGTTTTCATTTTAGTTAGTGGCTTTAGAGACACCTACTATTTATTTAGAAAGGCTTGAGCAAAGAGTATATTTAAATATTCCAGCCTGCATGACTGTTTTTAATCAACTAGGAAAACTTGTGGTGACATGAAAGACTTGGATAATCTCTTGAAGAGATCGATTGTTTCATTGTTTTTTCTAACCACAGACTTCCTTGATTTTAATATTCAGAACAATAGCAACTAGAATTTCCAAAGGGAAGAAGCATGGTAGGATAATTTTAGCTTGCTGGTTGGCAGGACTGTCCTGCAAACTAACACCTTTTATAACCTAGAAGAAAAAGTTTTAAATCAGTGCAATGACGTTGGAAGTCAGAAAAAATGTTTTATCTTAAGTCATATCCTCAAAGTGCAAATTAGTGAAAGAATTTGGAAGGCTATAGCAATGTAGTATGATGCCATTTATATTCTGCAGTGAGTCGATATGACGCGGATAAAAGTAATTTCGTGCATTTTGTAAATTCTGTTCGATGACACTGTACCAATTTTACCAACAATGCGAGATTCAATGGGGCATTGACCGGGCTGTTCGGGGAGTATGTGTCATTCGACCAGAATGGACAAAAATGCAGCTTCAGCAGATTCGAAATTTTAGCAGCTAACCTTCCGAATTGACGGTTTTAAGAGATTAACAACGTTATTGGGACGATTAGTCAAACGGTGAAAGTCAAGATATTCTGGTATTTTGAAATTTTAAAAATTCGAAGTGATGACGTAATAATTTGGAGAAGCGTCAAAAACGGCCATTTTAGAAAAAAAAACCAGAATAAAATGAGAACAACAATAGTTGCGACGAAGATCACTACGAGAAAATAGAGAATCAGAAACTGAGAAAAAGCAGAATTAGCAGAGACCGTTCCAAATTGCAACTATTGTGTCGCTACAATGGTTGCAAAGCCGTTTGCAACAACTAACAGCCTTCCGGAAGGAAAATAAGGGTCTTATTTCCCCGGACTCAAGAATCCGGAGGGGTCTCGGGAGTTGAACTGAAACTCTTTTATATAAATTTTTAGCTTCCCGGTTATGTCTTGAATTGAATTTAATTAACATCTGAATTCGTTTTGCAAGGATGAGAAGCTAGGAGTTGGGGGAAAGGGTTGATCCATCTTCGATGGAGATGATGATTTTTATCTACTGAATAAAAACAATAGTAATATAATAAGTAGTAGTAGCCCTGTTTTTAGGAGTGACCTCGTGGTCTGGGGTTACTGAGACCCAGCCACGAGTTCACTAATTTTGCATGTAGTTAAGTTAATCTGAGTGTTTTGACCGAAGCCGAAAGCAGTAACGTTTTTGTCGACCCGATGTTTGAAAGACCACCAAAAGAACTGGCTTTGGTAGAGACGGTGAAAAGCATGTAGAGCTTAGTTTAGACGCTGGCCAGTCGTTTTTTAGCTTAGCTTTGTTTTCCGTCGGTATGTACTTCCGGGCGAATGTTACAGACTACATATTGTTCCATTTGATGAGCGAGTAAAGTCTTGTGTGTAGGGAAGTTTTGAGGGCGAGGGTCACTTGTTAGTCTAAGTCTTACTGATTTTTTTTCGTCTTAAATGGTTTCTGCTTAAATTTTTTCGGCTTTGTCAGCCCTGCAATTTTTCTTCCGATGCTATTTTATTGAGGTGGCATGTTATTGTTTCAAAACCAGCCTGATTCATTTTGATAGATTTTTTTTCCGACTCAGCGGCTTTCTTGTTTTGTATCGAAGCGCAGTTTTGTCCCAGTGTATAGTGTTGTTCTTATACGTATGAAATTAATGGAGTTTTACCCAAACTCGATTATTCTTAATGTTTTCATTTTTATACTGTTTTGCGAAAGTGTTTTGTTAGTTTTGTAGCCGACAATGTTTAATGGGAAAGTATATTCATGCTTGCTTTTTTGTCAAATGAGAAAGCAAAGATTGAGCGTCTGTTATCAACGAAACAAAAATCTATTTATTTTTTGGGTTGCAATTTTAAAAAATAATCCATTGAATCACTTTATGTGAAGTTAAGGCATTTAAGTAGTTTTTTGTGAGGGTTGATTTGTTTAGAGCTTTGGAATATTTGTTCGCTTCTGTTCTCTCATCTTCTGTATAGCAGGAACGCAATCAACTGGGCCTGGCGGCCAAGTTTTGGAGGCATTATCATGTCCGATTACCAATTTTTTAAATTGAAACAAAGTTTTTTTCTTTTCATATTTGGTTTCGCAATTGATTCAGTTGTCTGGTTTGAATTAGCCGAAAGGACTTTCTTGAAACATAAATAATTGGTCCGTTTTGTTTGGAAATTGCGACGAATTTTATTCGTTTGTTTCAGTTGAATTTCGAGCGATTACAGCAAGCGAGCAGGCTTAGTAAAGAAAGATGAGCCGTAAAAACTTTAATTTTCCTCCAGTAAACTTATCTTTTGGAGTTTTTAAACGCCTTCGTGGGAAGAAAAACTGAAATAAAAAAGCTAAAAATTGGAAAAAATAAATGTATTAGAAAATTTCTACACAAATTTTTTGGGGATTGATTTTTTTGTTTTCCTTGTTAGCTTTTGACAAAAACTGTTGATCAACTCGCCTACTATATTGTGACAGTCGAATATGCCTAAGTTCTAGGCTTTTTGTCAGATCGTTTTATGAAACGACGCAAAAAAATGGCTCTTATTTGAAAAAAAAAAATGAAAGAAAAGTTTTCATGTATTTATTTTTACACTTGCGAGCGTGCTGTATTATTTGCGAGCGTATCTACCTCACAAATAGAAGCGTTCATTAAAAGTGTTCATTTATTTGTTCATCTGTACCATTGGAAATTTAATAATAATCATAATAATAATAATAATTATTATTATTATTATAAAGGATTAACAATCAAAATAAATGATTGAAGGGGGAAGCCCCCTATTTCAGTAGTTCGCGACAATATGTGCAAGAACAGCATATTCTCCAACTGCATGGTTTGTTCGCATCATAGCACAAGTGGAAAAACTCCCAGAAGTGTTCAAGTAACCTTCAGTCCTGAACTCCACAACGTCGATGGCTGCTGGAATATTGTTTACAGTTCGACATGTCCGGTAGAAGAAGTTTTCTCTTTCAATTTCGTATTTCATTTGGTAACTGGAAATGTTTTGCTGACCGGAGAAAATTGAATTCGAGATTTACATCAACAGTGGCAGGCCAATCAATCTTGCAAAAACCGTTCAAGATTTTTGACAGCAGTACTATGTCCAAGATTTGCAGATATAGAGAAAGCGGCAGATTTGTAGTCGTAGTACCAATCAAATGAGATGATCCATTTGCATGCTCGTTTTTTAACAAGCTCAATGGTTTGTCATCGACCGATTGGCAAACCAGGCATTGCTACCGTAAGTTAAAATTGGCAAGACCAAAGATTTATAGAGTTTCAATATCTCTTGTCTGCTTTATTCGTGGACCGTGTTGGTGATTTATAAAGCGTCCGTGGTTGAGTAGTTGGAGCAGGAGACCCAAAATATATAGGTCGCAGATAGAATCCGAGACTAAGCCGAAATTTTACTAATTCAATGCCTATTTCTACTTTTTCATTTTGCACTTTATAGAACTGCTTTTTTGTCATGTTCTCGCTATTGTTTTGTCGTGTTCTCGCTATCCTTGTTCCTTCTGTAAATTTGCTGTTATAAAAATCAGAAATTTACTGTTAAGAGTTATTTTATGAACATTGGATATATTTTAGTATCGGAAGTCTTGCGAAGCTTCGCGGAACCTCCTATCACTTTTCTCAGCTTTATTACATTTGCAAAATCAAATCTTGATTCGAAATCTGACTGTAGTTCGCTTGTGCATGCAAAGTGCAGCGTCACCGCTGTCATTATTTTATTATTATTATTGTTCCGACTTTCGATACGAAAGTAACGGAATATTAGTGCTCGGGGTGGGTTTTTTTTTTCAGACAAATTTCGACTTTTTAACTAGCCATTTTTGACGGAAATTTTTTATATCATTCAAAATTTATTTTTCCCTGAGCTCAAATTTGAAAAGATATTTCACCTGTGATCATTTTTCATAAAGTTATGGGGGCTTAAAGATTGCCATTTTGGCCAATTTGAGACAATTAACGCGCGATATATTTCGCGCTATTAACGCGTAAGCGGAGAGTTAATCCGTCTTAGAAATCGTTTCAAATTGGTTAAAAGAAGCTTATTTGCCATAATTGATTTGTTACAGGGAGCGAAATCTATCTTTTTGTACTTAATATGGCGTGTGGGGGGATGATTTTAATAAAAATTTCAAATTTTAGAAAAAAAATTGCATTTTGTTTTTTCTTACATTTAATTTTTTAATGTTATTACTGCTCCATAAAACCTTAAAAGGCAGTCGGAACATTCAGGGCTGATACGAGCAGTCTTGTTATTATTATAACTTTTCAACCAAAAGATTGAAGGGTGTGAACAGTTAAAGCAAAAGCTGGCAAATGTCCAAGAACAGCTATCGAGTTCATTATAGGAGCTTGGGAAGTATTGCCGGAAAAAGTTTATAATACTGGTTTTTATCTTATAGTAGATGTAGACTCTGTTTTCCGCCCTAAATGGTTTCTATCAATACTTTATTATCATGTTTTTTTTTGAAACACGGATATTGTGAATTGGAAATGAGTGAACTTTTCAATCAATTTGGATTTAATTATTTATTTTACACATCTACTGCATTAATATTTTAATTGAAATTGTTTGTTTTAAATTGTTTGTTCCATAGAATACTTCAATTGGATCCGGATCTCTGGAATATGAACTCGTTGTAATGCAACCATCGGTTCTCCTCCGATTCTTGTTCCGGATTTCCAGATTGGTTCATACCGTTGGCAGCTGTTGCGCACGAAGCGCTCATTGTGAAGCCGCCCTGAAACATGAACTGCTTATGACTGGAAGTCCAAAATATCGAGGATTCTGGGTCATACCTGTCATTGGCTTGATTTATTTTCAGCCTGATTTGGTATGATTTCGGTTCCATCTAGATAGCAATATTACTCAAGTTGTTTTTGTTTTACTTTTAAATACTTTTGTATATGTTTTAAATTGAGTGTGTGTTGTCTGTTGTATTTTACCTGTTGTAGCATGTCGAACGCCTGTTCTAGGAAGTTGTGTTTGAGGAAAAATCTGCTCGTGTACCTGTCGCCCTGTCCTCTATCTGGATCACGTGACTCATTCAGAGTTTCTTTAAACACCTCGCGACACAAACTCACTTTGCCACACACAATTATTCTCATCAGTTTGCGGAATTGGACGTCGGCCATTCCGTCTCTGCCGAACGCAAACGTGCCTCGGTATCCGAGAGTGATGAACCCGTCGCTGCTGTCGCCAGTCGAACCGACACCACCGCCTTGATTCGTATCATACATAGATTGGTTGCTGTTGTTTCCTGCAACTTTGCCGCCCTATAATCATTTTTGTAAGAGCTGATCTGATTTCTATCATTTCGAAAATGCATAGCTATAGTAGACGTCTTTTTCGCACTTTCGCTTAAAAGAATTATATGTTGTTTAAAGTCCCTCCCATCGTGATCGAGGTTCAATAAAAGTTCAGTAAAAGTTTTCCGCTCGCGTTTTCCGGCCTGGGTTTTTTGTCCTATCAGAACGTTTTAAAGTCACGAGTTGATAAATTGGCTTTCAAAATGAATTTAGAGAGGAAAATATAGGTTATAGGTTAGTTAAAATATTTATAAATAGATCACTAATTTTATGTCTCCTCTCGTCAGAAAAAAGCTCAGAAATGATTCAATTATTTTTGTCAAGTTCGAAAATTCTGGTGAATATTTTTTTCTTGTAACATCTCGTCTTCAACCCATGACGAGCTCAACAAACGAATCAGCCGAGAATAATTTGCATAGCTCTTTGAGGATATTTTTTTGATACAGAGCAGTGCTCTAAGAAAATTCCCTTAATGAGTTCTCTTCATAAAATATGTTTGGTCTTTTTAATCCTTTGTATGCCCTACTGAAGCAAAATTAACTGAAGTCGAATGAAATAATAGCTAATTTGCAGTTTTTTACAGATGAAGTCTCATTCTCTGAAATTTGGGGTTGGGCTATCATTGTTTTGTAGCGGACAATTGAACGGGTAAATTAATTTTGTGCTCCTGTCATTTTGATTGCTTTCACTTTTCCAAACTTCTCCTGTAATTTTGAATTCCTAACTCAATTTTCAACATCCGGTGTTTAGTCTGAAGTATTTTAGAGTTCATTTAACGAATTCTGGTCTCTAAGCGGTTTGGATATAGGAAAAAAAGTACTTAAGGGCAGGTTATATTGAGTATAAATCGGAAAAGTCTGGGCTTTTTGGCGCTAAGTCCATTCAGTTTAAAGGTCCCAGAGGCGTTAGAAGTTGTCAATTAGTGAATAATTCAGCTCCGATTAGTTCCACCATTCGAAGATAACTTCAGCTATCTTGAACTTTTATCTGGAGTGAGTAGTTCGTATGGTATCAGAAAAGAGCTTTATGATTTTCGCAACTAATTTTTTAAAGCTAAAAATAGCAATTTTATCAATTAAATAAGTTCCCGCAGCGCTTTCCCGAACGTTTCAGCGACAAATTGTTAAGGGTGCACATTTTAGAGCTTGTTTAGAACTTAATGAAACCAATTTAGCATTGAAATTTTGATTGAAGGAAAAATATCTAGCTTTAAAAGAAGCTGAGATGAAGTTTTTAAAAGCCTTAAATCTTTTTTTAATCAATTTGTATTATTTTGGATGCAGAATAGCAATCCTTTGTTGAGCCATTTTAATTTAGTGCATCTTAAAGTTACGTGAAAATCCCTTAAGGGGAACTTGACATTTAAGTTGTGCCACTAAATCTCCTAAAAGGTGATTGACACTGGTACTGAGATTGTGACAAGATAAGGAAATGGAATTTATGTCACATCATTGAAATGATTTCTATGTTAAGTACGTTTCAACTTCGTCTGTTTTTTTTCTGCGCATTTTTAATGAGAAAAAGTCATAATCTGTTCGTCTCGGACACTAAATCCCTGTCAAAGTCAACATAGTGTCTTAAGCAGTTGTTTTTGTGTATCATTTAATCAGGCCAAATTCCTAATCCCTCCAGAATTTTACATTTCCGGTTGCGAAAATATAGGTCTTTGTTGAGGATAATCCAAAAAGGAATCGACTGTTCGGCTTGATATGAACTTAATATGAAAACAGCGATGGCAGATGCAATGTATAGGCGGTTAGTAGAGCTTTGAGGCTGTATAAATCGCTGTTTTTTTGTCTTTTTTCATTTAGTTTTCAGCGGCTAAAAAATGTTCTTGGTAAAATAAAAAACAGTTGTGATCGTACCTTATTGCTTGCCTCGTGTTGCTGTGTCCCTCCCCGACTTTGTGCACCCCCGGTGGACTGGTCCTTTTCCCTATTCGCCCCTCCTCCCCTCGCCCGTCTGATGCTCTCAACGAGTCCAGGCAGTCGGTAGTAATCGGCTTCGACCTGATCAAACGACTCATATTGTGCAATTAACGTATCGCAAATCAGGTGATGTCAAGACAAGATATGAATTTTTTTGTTTTTTTTAAATTGTTTTTTCTTTGTAATTGCAACAAATAGGTGTCCAAAGTGTGATCGGCTTTCTGAGGCTTTATGGTTCATTTAATTATTTTCCATTTTCTCCATTAATTTCGGGCGATCTGTCGTGAAAAAAAAACTTTTCAATGGAGTCTAATTATGAAAATTTTTCAGATATTAAGAGAAGATGTCAACTTTGTCAAACTATGCCATCAGATGGTAGCAGCATCTTATGTAGCAGCTCAAATAGTTTTCGTCCATGACAGGAAATGATTTCATTGGATCTTTCATGTGTACCTACCAGTGATGTAGGATTAAATGAACAGTATGAGTTTTCATCTGAAACTTCAAAATATTCACATGAGGAAATTAAGTCGTGAAAAATTTTTAAAAAAATCAAATTTTGTTCATCAAAATTTTCAAATTTTTGTGGAAATGTTTTTTTATTGCTTTTGACAATTTTAAGTTTTTTAATGGAAATCACTGGTACCTGTAGCCTGTCCTTTTCAGGAAACTCCTCTGGCAAGACTAGTTTGGTGTTGCGCAAGTAATCAAGGATGAACCGGAACAGATGTCCGTCTCTGTCCAGGAAGTACCTGCCCCTCGTGTCTCTCAGAGGGGGTGTCTTGCTCTTTCCAGAGAAGATGATTCCCAGCAGTGAAGTGTTCTCTCGGGTTAGAGTGGACAAAGCTGTCGTGTACACCTAGAGTCAAAAAGTTTGATTTTATTTGCTCTAATCGATTGCATGAACAATTAATTGCAATCTGGGTTTTTGATATTGTTAGAGCTTTTCTTAATGTCTTTTGAGAGGTGCTTTTTTTGAGGTTCTCTAAATAAGAAGTAGGCTCTCCAAAAAGGTACCAGTTTTCCGGGCTCTAATCTACGCCCGTTGCACACATACACACATTAAAAGTTTTTGGTTTTCATTTTACTCGACATCAGAAAACTTATGCCGGCATTTTTCCTTTCCACGTTAGAAGTGGTGTCTTACATATTTTCATGGCTAAATATGCGGTATAACCTTATAAGGTATGTTGCACAAATGTGAATTTAATTTGTTCATCTGGCTAAACTTCAGCTGTACATTTTGAGAACAACTCTGAAAGTAATTTTTGAAACGAAATGGAAAATAAATTGTGCTGAAAGTAGAAAAAGTCCCATTTTGATTTTTTATTGACGTTACCTGTCCTCCGACGTTGAGCTCAACTACAGATGGGAACTGAGTTCCAGCAATGTCCAATGTCTCGCCAGTCGTCTCGTCCTTGTTTGGATTTGGCGCCGCTGATTCGGACTCGGACCCGTTATGACTGGCCGACGACTTGGATCTATCTTCCTCTAAACCCATTCTTCTCTAAACATCAAGGTGAAGTTTTTGATGTTAGAATCGGTTTTTAATTACCATAAGTAAAGGAATTAAAAGTAATGGGGAGCGGTGGTGAAGTGGCTACGTCTCCGCCTCTCGAACGAAAGGTCGGATGATCGAGGCCCACCAGGATCCATTCTCGTTGCTTGAGGGCATATAAAGTAGCCATAAGATTGCATGTACATCTTAACCAGGGGTATAACAGCGTTTCTCCGTCAAAAGCTGAACAGCTCGTATGATCGTCGTTTCCCTTGTGATTAAATCGTCTAAAAATTATCCTGCTCGGGTCGACCCCGCTACATGTATGGGTTGCTTGGCATTTCAGTTTTTTTACTTGAGTAATTGGACGGGTGTCGTCTTTTTTTGCAACAAAGATATTTTGACTCCACTTTTTATCCCATTCACTTTTACCCTTTGCATGTTTCACTCCACAAAATACATCACCCTACTTAAATCTGATTAGTAGCAAATAATTCGATCCCTTCATTAAGAATACAGAAATTGACTCTTCCGACTTTCGATAATTTCGTGATAATTGAGTAAAAAAATGAATTAATTCAAAAGTTGATTGGTTTATTGTTAAAGACAAGTGGTTTTAAACCCAGGGTTTGAATGATGCAAGACTTTGAAGATTTACTTGTTTCCTGTCTGTCGAATAATTTTTAGATCGCTCTGTATAAAGAAAGAGCGAATTGATTTTTCCTTGTCCCACTCAACTTGAAGTATCAAATACACAGTTTTGTTTTTCATTAGTTGAAATGATGAAGTTGAGTTTGTCGACATGATGATACTTTAAAAGTGAAATCTTCCTGAGAAATCCAATCGTAATTGCGAATGCGACATCTCGTTTTTAATATTGAGAATGCTAAATTGAAGTTGATACCCTTTAATATTGAGAAAAACTTGGACAAGGCAGGGATGGCGCCAAAATTTCTTCATATCCTGAAAAATTGGATTTGATTTTATCATTCGCGAGCGGTATTCTAATATGAACAGCGGCATAAATACCCGTTTAACGCCAGCGAAAATTGATATTTTTGCAACTTTTTATTTGATCTTTGACTCCTAAATTTGTCTTAATTTTCAAAATTTTTATGAGAGTCGTTTGCTTTCAGAACAATTAAGTCAAATTAAAGCGAAAATTATCTTGTTTTTTTTTGTCAGTTAAGTTCTCCAATTTCAGTTAAAATGCTTCATAATTGCTATTTGAAGTAACATTTATTACTTACTCTTTGCTGTAAAAAGCTGTGATCTCAAATAAGATGGAGAAAAATGAAAGATATTCAAATATATTCAAATTTAATGAGAAAATTAGTATTAACTAAAATAAATGTGTAAATTACACATTTTTCTCGGAAGTTTAAATGTTAGTTCAAGCAATAGGTAAAATTGCTTCAGACTGTCACCAAATGGTAAATCTGAAGCAAAAAGGATGAAAAACTGTTAAGGTCTGATATGAATTCGGCTATAAATCAGCGTGTCAGTTAATGAAAAAAGAAACGGAGTTCAAATTTTTGAGGCTGGAAGAAATAATAGTATGGGAGAGCAGAGAAGACTTATTGGTAATATAGGGATTAGACTTCGATTTTGTTTTGGCTTATAAACTGCCTCCGGCTTATAAAATTTGAAATTTCCGGCCTCCCCTTGGTCTTTTAAGATTATTTTTTCTCCATGTCTAACGACGCTGGTCAAAATATGAGAAATTTTTGTGAAATAATTGTAAAAGAAACAGGGAATAGGTCCAATGAGATCAGTACGCTTTGTAAAAAATAATCAAGGAAAAAATTGGCGGAATCAATTATCACTTTTTTTTCTAATAAGCGAGTAGTAAAGTTTATTCGAACAAATCGATTTTATATTAAAATACAGAATGGCCGAAATATTAAAGCATTGATATACATAAAAAAAGAACAAGTGAGTTTAGAGTCTTGAAAATGCAAGTCTTGTAGAAGGTACTATCTTTGAAAATACCCTTTGCCTATTTCGTTGTTCTTTGACGCATGCTGATTTTGAAAGCAAAATTCAGCAATGTCTCAAAAAGTTACTAATGAACCATTTCGTAAGTAGTATAAACCTCTGAGATTGCTTAAAAAATTAGCCCTTTGAGCATTCTCCTTGTGTGAGCTCTGAATAAAAATGTAATGTTCAGCTTTGAAATCTGAAGTCCTGATTGAAACGAGAGAAAGGAAGCGACTTTTAATTCAGTGTCTTACCTTATTTCAACTACGCTGATTAATTCGGTAGTCAGAACAAAGAATGTGTCGTTTTTCTTCTTCGCTTGTGAAAGTAACTGCAGATATATTTCTACCAGCAAGTGGGTAAAATAGCCTGCCTTAGAAAAGAGAGGCTACTGTTAAAAGAACACGCGTAAGGTGATGTTAGTAGTAGCAGGGAATGAATTAAAGGGTTAATCCTGCGACGATCAGCAAGAAATGATTGCTCTAATTTGCACGCAAAAGAAACCTGAACCCAACCTAACCCCAGAATTTATGTCTTCTTTCTCTGTAAAAAGCCCTTTTTTCCAAAAAAAAATACCTCGACCTTCTTTATGTGTATATTTCATGTAAAGTTTATTACATTTGCGCGATGTTTTATTGCAGATTTTATGTTACCACTCGTCTAATTTGTGTAAAATAGGGTCCAGGTTTTTTTATTGCCAGACATTTGGGTGCAACGTAATAGAACCGATTGATTCCAAGAAATCAACTTCTATTTTTCAAGAACTTCACTATTATTATTAAATATAAACATTTTTTGCTCAAACTATTGAAAATGGGGAGGAACTTGTATTCGGGTGTGTTTTAATTTTTTTGTTGGTTTTCCACGCAAAATCAGGTACTATAAATAAGCGGAATGGATCGAGTGATGTATCAAATTCAAGCCCTTTCAGTTATCATTTGAACGACATTCAATTGAGTTTCCAAAAAAAATTCTCAAAGTTGAGAAAAACCGGCTTACAATTTTTTGAGTTTTAGTACAATTTCGAGCGAGTAAAGCGATCTAGTAACGTTTGTTATATAAAAATATTGGCAATTTAGGCTGAAAAACTTGATTTCACTACAAAGCGTTTTGACAGCGTCATTAAGCCATTTCTCTGCAAAAAATAAGGAACAATTTTTCATAGGAAAACTTAGGAAAGAGTTTTTTTTATTCATTTACTCGTTTATTTATTTTTTCAAGACAAATATAGTATAATATGCTGAATTCACTACACATTTTTATAGTTCTATAATCCCACCACGCAGAAGAAACGACGTTAATTTGAAGGTAAAAAGTTTTTTTTTGTAGTTTACGAATGTGTTCGCAGCATTCTGTGCTACTTGCACAGCAACCGGCTAGCCTTGTTTTTCTTTTTTTTGTTCTCGCAAATTCAGGTACCACAAAAAATCATCGGATTAGTAGAATGATTTATCATATTGAAGCCCTTTCTGTCGAGATTCGAACAATATGTCGAGAAAAACCAGTTTGAATTTTTCGATTTTAGGTCGAATTTCAAGCTAATAAGGTGAGCGTGCAGGCTTACCATGGCTTATTTATGCTTGATTTAAGCCGTGAAAACTTGATAACCTGAGTTTTTCTTGAGTAAATTTAGAAATTGGAGTTTTTAAGCGCCAATTTGGGAATCACTAATTTCAAAATTCTGCAAAAAAAAAATATTTTTGAACAGTTTGAATTTTTCACGATTTTTTCTTATCATTTTTCGAGTCGATTTTGTTCAAAAACTGTTTTGCTATTGGACTATTGACTACTATGACTAACGGATATGCCTAAGTTTTCTTTTTTTTCGTTCAGATGTTTTTATCGCATCACGTAGGAAAAACGGCAGTAAATTGAAAAAACTTTTTTTACGTATTTTGTAAGACTATGGCCATCCCTGTTTTTCGAAAGTAGCGTGAAGCTCCACTTCACCTGTGCTCGAGTATATGATATGATTTATGAAAAAGAGAGGCGGGGCTGAAATTGTAAACACAAGCAAAGAGCGACAAGCAAAAAAAAAGAAATTGCAGAAATTAGTGTGATAGAGGGACTACGGATACGCGGATTTTTTTTCCCAGAGTTTTTTTAATTTCAAATTGCGATTGGATTTTTTTGAAACTCAAAATTTATGAAAAAGACTGGTCGGAACATTTTTATATACTTGCACAGCAACCGATTAGTTTCAATTTTTTACGGTATTATTGAGTAGACAAAACGGGTGTTTAAATAAAAATACGACACGGTTATCCTGTTATTTGGTTAAGTTAATTGATAGTTTATTGCCGCTCTGTTACCTGATAAATCAAGTTGTCGGAGAAAACGTCAATTTTATGTGTGCAATTCAATAAACGGAGGTTGGAATCTGGAATGAATTTTCAGATAGTCACGATGAACAAAAATAGGTTAGCGGTGTTTTTGTGACAAAGTAAAAGGCTGGATTGGATATGAACTGTTTGATTGGTTTAAAATAGTTTGAAGGTGAATGAATTTAAGGTCGAGGGTTGATAAGTTCAGGTTTGATGAATTGAAATTATGGGTGTTCGGTACTAACAATAGCTTCGTATTTTTGTGAAGTTAAAACTTGAAACTGGGTTGAACGCAAAAATTGTGCAGATGAAATTAAGTCGGAGACTTTAAGAGGGATTAGCATAAATTCACTTAACTCAAGTCAGGTGGGCGGGGTAACTAGAAGGGCTTTGCGTGAACTAACTCAATTCATTTAGCACGGTGCTGCACGCAAAGCACAAAAAATGTTTCGATTTATTTCTACACTAAATATTCCTTCGAATAATAAATTGTAGTAGCAATAAGTACAGAATGCAACAGGCTTTGTAGAAAAAATAAATTTATCTACGTCAATTTGGACACGTCAAAAATCGAGGACTGATATTTATTTGCCCTTTCAAAGATTTTTTGAAAGAAGTGTTTTAATCTAAGACGTTGGTTTTCAAACACTCGAAGAAAAAGCCTTTTAAGTGCTTGTTTGTTTTCAGCGAGCGATTTTATTCGCAGGGACAAATCGTCTCCTAAAAGAAAAACAAAACACTAGAAAAGGTATCTTTTACTGATATACATTTTTTGCAACGTTAGCCTTTCATCTCGATTCATAAAATATCTGATCCATTTTAACTGGAATTTTTAAACACCTGCAATGGTTAGAATTAGTAATGAGCATAGCCGGAAAATCAACAGTAATTTATAACCTCCGTCAGGTTATTGGATTTCTATCTTAGAGTTATTTTTCTACACGATACTGGTAATTGTACATACAATTTCAATGCTCTTTTTCTAAAAGGAAGACATTTTAGCAAGAAATTTACAATTCATTGACGGAAAGTCATTGTGTTTTCCCCTTGTATCAAAGAGGGAGTAGTCTTTGACAAAAAAAAAACAAAGCAATTGTGGCGTCAAACATCAAAACATAATTTAGTATCTCTGCTTTCTTAAGTTCAGTTTCTTACTTGGTCATAGATGCATGGCGATATCACATTTTATAGTGCAAAAGTCGAATTTCTATCTTAGGGTTATTTTTCTACATGATACTGGTAATTGTACATACAATTTCAATGCTCTTTTTCTAAAAGGAAGACATTTTAGCAAAAAATTTACAATTCATTGACGGAAAGTCATTGTGTTTTCCCCTTGTATCAAAGAGGGAGTAGTCTTTGACAAAAAAAACAAAGCAATTGTGGCGTCAAACATCAAAACATAATTTAGTATCTCTGCTTTCTTAAGTTCAGTTTCTTACTTGGTCATAGATGCATGGCGATATCACATTTTATAGTGCAAAAGTCGAAAGTTTATAATGTTTTTTTTGTTTTTCTCGAAGAAGGGAAAAGTTTTCCAAAAATAAGTTGTTATTTTCAAAGGGTACTATTTTGGTACTATTTTATGAAAGTTAGTCCTGCTGGAAAACTTAAAAATTGTTTAAGGGCGTTTTTGGTGCAACGTCGGACAAAGTAAGTAAACGTGAGTAAACTTTAGACGTTAGCATCTGTTCTCTATTTTGCTTGTAACTAGTGTTGGCCGATCGTCAAGCGATCGTGGCACAAATTGAAGGGTGTGAGACCCCTATTCTACTAGTCGGAGTTTCAATGCCGCACTTTGCATAAGTTTGATTTGTATTTGGTGGCGTTAATGCTACACAGCGTTGGCAATTTATTAAATCTGTAGCTGCTTTATCGGTGGCGAGTGTTGGCAAAGTTTCAATGACCCATGGCGCAGATGCGAGGACATGAGATTCCTAATCTCGAGGACGGAGAATCCGACACAAAGAAAGTTTTTTTCACCGAAGGCTTATTTCCTACCTTTTCTTATTTCAATGTTTAGAGCTGCTTTTTTCGTTTTGTTGCTAGTGTTTTCGAAACGAAAAGTAACAATATTTTTTTGCTATGAGAAATTTGTTCGTGAATCTCTTTTGAGCCTTTTTCCAACACACAAACTTGCGAGAGCAAGTGACTTAACATCGGGAACTAAATTTTTTTCCCGTAAACACTTAGTTTTTTAAGCAGCGAGTCTTGCTCTCGGTTACCGGCCGGAACTTGTTTACTTTTTACCCTTGCGATAGCCGTTCATTTTTCTTTCGGCCTTTTATTTGTCTGCTTATGCTTTTTCGGCCTAATTGCCTCATCTAAGAATCGTTTTTTTTAGCAGTAAAAAGTTTAACTGCAATTATTTTAAGCATTTTAAAAATCCGGCCGAATCAAAGTTTGCTTTTCAATTTGTTGTAATTTTAACTGCTCGATTCGTTAAAATTCATTTTTTTTCATTGTTTCGTCTTTTTTATCGGCCTAATTAATATCGACTCAGTGGCGTTGTTACATTTTTGTGCGCCTGTGTGTGCTCTGAGGGGAAAATGGACTTAACAGTTTGTATAAGTTGAGAGTTTTTTGAATTCTTTTTGTCATAAAGGGTTTCTGCTCAGGTTTTTTCGGCTTTGTTACCGCTTGGTAACTATAGATTCAAATACTATCAACCGTCTGGCGTAGAGGTCAAACATTTTTGAAAGCGTAAAGGACCTTTTTTTTGAAAACTTAGTTTCTGTATAGCATTCCCAAAGCTCATTGTTGAGTTTCTAATGATGCAGGCAATTTTTTTCCGGATATTTTGGGCTTTTGTTGCAATTTCTATTGATTTTTTTTTCTCGTTTGATTTAACTAGTCATTCATATTTGTATCGCAAGTGGCGCGAAGCTCAGCTTCGCCTCTCCGTCCACTATGCACCTATGTATGTGTTTATTAGGCACTTAGCACAGGCACATTCCAGACAGTGCTATTTTTTATTAGGCACTTAGCACAGTGGTAAGGCGTTCACTTCGAAATCGTCAGATCGTGTATTCGATCCCATGCCATGGCAATGATAGTGTGTGAGGACAAGCTCTCACTTGACCTCCAGCTTCAGGTTAACCACAACCTGACCAAATTTGGCTGCAATAGTTGTACCACGTAAAAGTTCTAGACGCAAAAACACGGCCTTGAGTCGCGAAAAACAGCTTCACTCAGCAAAATAGCACTGTCTGGAATGTGGGGAGATAATACAAATGGACTATCCTCGACAGGACTGTTAAGGCCTACTGATAGCTCCTCTGCGATTCGCAGGAACTACAATTATTGTTATTAATAATCTTGAGTTACTATGGAACCTCGACACATTAGAGGACCCTTTTCACTTGGTCTAGAGTAAAGCACGCGAATTCGGAATATGATGTCTGGGTTTCGATCCGCACTGGGACAGTTTTTGAAGATCTTGTGAAGTTTACCTTGCTTGATTATGGAACCTGAACGTCATTCAGATCCCTCTCATTTGGTCTAAAGGCAAAGTACGCGAGTTCGGAACCTAAGGTTAAGGGTTCGAGTCGCGCCGCACGTGTTTTTAGATGTGTGGAAGTTATTTTTTTTTTGGAACACGTGAGTTGTCACTCTATTTTTTGTCAACTTATTTTTGTCAGCTTGCATCAATATTTTTAGTAGGTTATTTCAATTATGATTAAAATTCGTGCTGTAGATTTTTTTGGCCTAAATGTGTTCCTTTCATTCAGTATTGTTTTAGTTGCCTCGTTTTGCATCGTTGAGAATACTAAAATTGATGCAGTTGTAAAAAACGGGGCCTTAAAATTTGAATTTCGAAGTTTTAGATTAAATTTTTCTATGACATCTTTTTGTTTTCGGCTCAACTGGCGTTCATTCGAGATAAAGTGTTGCGAAGCTCCGTTGCGCCCGTGTGTAAAAATAAATAACCTGAAAAAAGGAAACTACTGTGCTACATGCATATGAACAGGTGATATGACTTATAATTTTCTGTGTAAGATAATCGTCAGATAGACTCGGGTGATATGTCAGTTTAAGGCCGTTTCAGTCGTGATTAGGTGGATATAAAAGTTTTCGAAAAGAGTTGAAAGGAAAACCGTTAGATATTTTTGCTTATTAGACTTACGAGTTACTGAATAATTTTTGCTGAAGTATGACGTTCATTGGGCCATATGATTTTAGCGTGCAAGCAAACATATTATAATCAATTAAGTAGAAGGAAAACAGAGCCACAAACTAATTAGCGACAAGTTTAAAACACAGAGATATTTTTAATTGAATCAATTTTTTCCATCTTTTGGGGTTTTCAGCGTCATTTCGTTTTCCTGAGTGCTTATTTTTCACCCTTGCGATTAGCAAGGGTATTGTAGCCGGGTTCTAGGCTTTTTGCTCCCTAAAAACCCTGCTAACAGAAATGAGATGATACGTGCTTCATAGTAAATTACAATCAAATGGCGGGTTTTGCATATTTAGCCTAAAGGTAACACCATGCTTGGGTCGACGAGAACGGTGCTTGGATTTATTCCAACCAGGAGTCGATTTTTTTCAATCAGGGGATTGTCAACTGGTATAAATTGATAAATTTTATTCATTGTGTCTCTCGACATGTTTTTAAACTGGATTTCTCTCGAGACAAAAGTGTAACAAGACTGCTCGTATCAGGGCGAAGCCCTGAATGTTCCGACTGCCTATTAAGGTTTATGGAGCAGTAATAACATTAACAAATTAAAAGTAATAAAACAAAATGAAATTTTTTTCTTCTAAAATTTGAAATTTTTTATGAAAATCATCCCCCCACACGCCATATAAAGTACAAAAGGATAGATTTCGCTACTTGTAACAAATCAATTATAGCAAATAAGCGTCGTTAAACCAATTTGGAACGATTTCTAAGACGGATTAAATCTCCGCTTACGCGTTAATAGCGCGAAATATATCGCGCGTTAATTGTCCCAAAATGGCAATCTTTAAACCCCCATAACTTTACGAAAAATGATCACAGGTGAAATATCTTTTCAAATTTGAGCCCAGGACAACAATACCTTTCGAATGATATAAAGAAATTCAGTCAAAAATGGCTAGTTAAAAACTCGAAATTTGTCTGAAGAAAAAAAACCCACCCCGAGCACAAATATTCCATTACTTTCGTATCGAAAGTCGGAACAATAATTTTGGTTGATGTTCTGTTTCATCTTTTCAATTATTTTTTTTTCTGATTCAGTCGCTTTCGGTTAGCTATGCAGAGCTTATGCGCTGTATCTCAAAAGGTACGAAGCTCCGCTTCGTATCGTATTAATTATGTAATATTGTTTGAAAATTTCATGGCGCTAAAAACAGTTTTCAAAATAAATTTACCATAGATGCTAGAAATTGCTTTAAAAATAGCTAGTAATTGCTTTTTTTTTAAAAACTTTCCTAATTTTCGGTTAAGCTGTTGGGCGGTTTGGTTTCCACTGGGAATGAATGAGAAATGTGGCTGAGTGACGGTTTGCTATGAAGTAGTTATTTCAATGGCTTTGATTTATTTGAAAGTTAAAGTAATTTTCTCTTAGTTCTAAATAGAACAATCTAATACCATCGCGAAATTATTAATTCAATTATATTACTCGTGAATAAGTCTAATCCAATTTTGCCATCAACAAGACCTCGACAAATTGATTGAGAACGACTTTCCTTTGAAATGAAATTGAATTGTCGATCAAAGCTTGATTAACACACTGGACAATACACAACACCGGGTCATTAAATTCACGATCAGCTGGATCCACTCACTGAGAAGTTTGAAATGCTGCTACTAAAAGCCATTAAAGACACCATGAAACGAATCCTGTGGCCATTACTTTCCAGCAACAAACAGAAATTTCTTTTAAGATTCTGTTGGCGACTTTTTGTAGTGCCGTTAATTTTCATTGCCTTATCTATATGCTGAGATGAACCTTGAAATGCTTTTTATGTTGCTTCATTTAAAAATGAATTGGAAGCAAAAGGCTCAAATTAACATACTGAATAATAAACAGTTTTTGATTTTTGGCTGTGAGCACGCGTAATATCTTTGATGATTATTAGCATGCCTATGTAAAGAACACAGTTGACGCAATCGCGATTTTAATACCTCCATTCAAATTTGAAATTTTGAATAGAATTCTCTCTGCCGACTACTTAATCTGGCAAAAGTCAATTTTGAATTCCATTCACAAATCAAGTGATTTTAAAACTAATCAAGTGTCAATGCACTAAGTAAAGTATTTAGGTCGTGTTATTTTTTCTTGTCTTTTCTTCTGTACAACGTCTTTAGAGTTGCTAATTTCAAATTTGGGTTTTAGCTAAAGCTTGATTTTAAAGTATTTTCAGATTCATTTGCTAATTTCAAGAGTGAGCCAGCAAGTGTAGTCTCATATTACGAAGTTACTTTTTTGCGAGCCAATTTCAATGGCACGTTTACTGCATAGTATTGGCATTTTAATTACATGTGTTCTCCAATTTATCACTGGCTTGTGTTTGCATTCTGTAAGCATCAGTAGAACAGATGTGTAGGGCAGTCCTTGGAATCTTGGTTGTCTGATAACAGAATCGAGTCCCGTTGAGGTCATTGCTTTTTAAAACTCATTATTTTTGTCTGTTTTCCTGACCTTTTAATAGGTACTTCTTGGCTTTTTTTCGCTTGTTTGCAATGTTTCGCCTCCCTGTTAATAGTTAAGTTGCGCTCTCCAGTATCCAAAGTTAAAATGGAGAGAAAATGACATTGTATCAACAATTAATTCTAATTTTTGATTTCACATTGAAATAAAAAATTTTGTTATTGATTCGGTTTTAAAATTTTTCGGTTTTTTATCGAAAATTGTCAGCCAATAAAGTTAACAAGACCTTCAAGATCATGTATCTTTGTTTGAAAGAGTTATTGGGTTTCTTGAGTTCCTTGACACTTTTACAAGCAAAAGTGTTTCATTTGATTAGGAAGCTGTTTAACTCAAGTATGTCAAGGGCCATTCTCATGATAGAAGACCGAATGAAGGAAAAATACCAACCAATTAGAAATTTCTTCAACTGTTACAAGTTTCCAGGTGGTGAACGGTGTATGGAGTAAATGAAGAGTATAACAAGGATAGCCGGTTACTGTGCAAGTAGCACAGAATGTTCCGACCATCGTCTTAAAAGAATACAACAAAAGAGTGTCCGTTTTTTGGCGTGGTGTGAAAAAGGATCATAACGAAAAACTAGAGATTACGTTTTTTTGACAGTCATTGTACACTAAGCAAAATGGAAAACATTGTTCGTGGAAAATTAAAAAAAAAATTGAAATTTCAGTTTTTTTTTTATAATTTTTTTTTGAACTTTTTGATTTCAAAAAAGCGCTTAAATCTCGAAAAAAAACTATCTCACTCGAACAGTTTTTTCTCAACACTGAGGAAAATTTGTGAAAGTTTGTTAATATCGTTCGAATCACGACTGAAAGCGCTTTAATATGATATATCACTCGACCGATTCGCATGCTTATTTGTGGTACCTGATTTTGCGTAGAAAAGAAAAAACTAAAACACACCCGAAAACAAAGTTCCTCCCCTTTTTTCAAATAGTCAGAGCAACAAGACAGCTCATATATCAAGTCGAAGCCCTGAATGTCCCGGTTGCACTTCAATGTCAAAAAAAAATTTGTTTGATTATTTGACGAAATAATCGACAAAGAAAGTTTTTATTTTTGCTTCAGTTTATCACCTCACATGCTATGTAAAATAGAAAGGACGTGTCTAGCTTCTCGGGTTGTTTTAATAGGTCTAATATGCTGGCATCATTTCAATTTCAAATGAATTAATTTGCCGCTTACTAGTGTGATAAGACCACAATTTATCGTGCGTTAATTATTCCAAATTCGTCAATTTAGCATTTGTCAACAAACCCCCGTGTCTTAGGAAAAACTATTTTTGGTTAAAAAAATCTTTTAAAAGCTCATGACAACAGTTGCTTTCAGATGGTATAAAAAATTTACGTCAAAAACGCTCTATTAAATAGTCGAAAATTGACTGAATAAAAAACACACCAAGCATAAATATTCCGCACTTTCTTCGAAAGTCGGAACAATTATCGGAATGTAATAAAAAATTTCTCCCTGTAGATTAGTGATAACACCCAGACGTTTTAAAAAATAGTTTGTTTTTGGACTGACTGCCTGCTTGCAAAATGTATGAGCCCGATTGCTCTTGTCTTTTCACTTGTGAGAGCGTGTGACTTCTCTGATTTTGTATTCAATCAATAATCGTTTTAATGCTCTGATTTTATTGCTGTCCCGAAGTTTCATGATTTTTTTCTTGTATTAGTAGAAATTAAATGTTCATTCTATTGCAACGCATGAAAAATTGGCCAACAATTGTGGAAAATTATCAGAAAATTTTCTTCAAATTATGTTTCTCGTTTTTTTTTTGGAAATTTTTAGTTGACAATTTCTTACGAAAAGAGGATTATTCTCTTTTTTTACAGCTAACGATTGCTTACTAGCTACCGAAAATTTAAGTCGATCCGACCATGTTGCTGTTGTAGCCCCGTTGAATCTTGGCGACATTGGGTTCATTTATTTCGGTTAATAAGCACTATGTTAGTTAAATGCTAGCTATGATATTAATGTTTTCAGATGTGAAATGTCATTTGTTGACACGAAGATTAAACTGCTGTTGAAGAGAGTTCCCAAACCACTGCCGGATAATTACAACCTAGTAGCTGATGTGCGCAGCTCCGAGCCATGCTCAAAACTGCTGGACTCGCTTCAGATGCGAATAGCTTTGAACACATTTGAGCAAGCTACAGTTAAATTTCCAAATGGAGATTGCTCAGTGGTAAATCCAACAGGTCAGTTGATACGAATTTTTCAGGCGGGGGGGGGGAGCTGTAGCGACTTTAATGCGTGCCGCTTGGCAAGAGCAATTAAAGTAGTAAATCACTGAGTTTCAATTGCAAATGTGACAAAACAAACTCAATTCTAATTGCGCTAATAGCAACAGTCTAAATTATTGGCGTTCCAAAAAAGTTATTGGGGTTCCCAAAAAGTTTCAACAATCAAGCAGGCAGATTAAGGGCGTCATCTAAAAGACGAAAAGTGTGCCAAAGTTATATACCATACCCTACCGCTATCAAAAAGAAAAAAGAGTAACAGTAAATGGTGCCTAAATGCCCTCGAAAAAAAAACTTCATTTGTTTTTTTTCGGGCCACTAAAAGTGGCGATGAACAATGAAAAATTTGTCTTCAAGTTTTCCATTTTTACCTTTTTTTCTCGCAAAAGCATTTCTCACACAAACAAACGTCAGATGGCGTCGAGTGATATATCATATTAAAGTCCTTTCAATAGTGATTTAATCGATACATTTTCAAAAAATAGGTCCTTAATTTAGAGAAAAACCGCTTTGAAAGTTTTTACAGTGAAGAAGGGTAAGTAGAGCGAGAGCGTTTGCTTAAGCTATAAAAAGTTTTCTTAGTTTTATTTTTTTCATTTCGCTTTTTCGGCACAAAAATGTTAGAATCTGCAAACAAAAAGTTGGCGGGTTTTAATTTTCTCAACTTTGTTGGTAAAAATTGTGCACGGATTATTGTATTCAATTGAAGCCTAAATAATTGTATATTTTGTTTTTATTAAGAGTAATCAACGTAGTGTATGAACGGAGTAAGAGTAATTATCAGATTTACCAGCAAAATAAAATTTTCATGTATTGATCCAGTTTTCTCACGCATGAGGTCAAGTGAAATTTTATTTTAATGTAGTCAAGATTCGATCGAATTTTACCCTTGCGAGCAAGTTTCTTGTAATCGGGAACTAGACTTACTTTCCCCATAAACAACTTCTTTTACTTTAAATTGAACAGGCTGTATTTGAACCCTACAAACTTCGAGGTTCTTTACCACTTGGACTGGAGGTAACTTGATTGCTTTTGCAACCTAAGGTCTGAGGTTTGAGTCCCGGCTGGATCTTGTTTTTTTTTCAGCATTAGGTGCCACATCGCTGATTTTTTTGTGCTATAAGAAAAATTATTTTGAACTATTTCCAAATTTGTTCACCGATTTTCAAAATTGGGGTCTAATTGGAAAGAACGATTGCTTCCCTGTGTGCCTGCTTTATCGTCTAGTCTCTCTTTACTTTGTCCCACAGTCTACCGCCTTCGAAAAAGTCTGTAAGGGAATATTTGCCCCATATATATTTTTTTCGTTTTCTCAAAAACTAATCTCCCAGATCTGAGATTCTGGTTTCAATGGAAATGACGGGTTGTAGAATGCTCCCCTGCATAAGCGGCTAGAACCACTTTTTCTAACAAAAAAAAAGTTATGACCCTCGGAGAAGTCAAATTTTGGTTTTTGACCGTTTTTCAAACTTTTCTCAAAAACACCTTCTCAAATGCGGTTTTGGTTCAATCCAATGAACGGGCTGTGTGAAACTCCTTTGCATACGCGATTACGACCAATTTCTAACGCAAACAGTTATGGCCCTCGGAAAATTCAAATTTTTGCCTTTTTCTAACTTAGACTTGGAAGGGTAGTTGCAAAACTACCCTTCTAAATCTAAGACTTTGGTTTCATGCGAAATTTCAAGTTGTGTGAATTTTTTTCCGCAAGTGTCTACGTTCTATTTTTTTTACACAGAAAGCTATGATTCTCGAAAATGTCAAATTTTTGATTAATTGACAAAAGGGTAGTTTTCGACAAAAGTCAAAAAACTTCCAAAATACTTCTGTCGAAAACTACCCTGCCAATATTCAGGTCAAAAAATACCTTACCAATTCTCAGGCGTTCAATCGAAAAACGTGGTTTTGGGTATCTTCTCTGCTCAAGCGGCCATGTTCCAGTTTTTTCTTAATAACTACCCTATCAAATCTGAGATAAAGGGTTCAATCGAAAGACGGTTGCGAGAAATTTGCCTGTAGAAGAAGCGAATCCTTAATTTTTGTAAGAAAAGTGTTGTCCTTGGGAAAATTCCGTTATCTTAAAAATTTTTGCTCTTAATTATTTTTAATAGAGAAACAACTAAGATTTTGAGCTGATTTAAATTTTTGAGTTAATGTATTACATACCGCATCAGTAGAACAATTTGAAGAAAAAAACATTTTAACTTGTACATCTAGCTTTAGCTGGGCCCTAGTTACCTTTATCGAGACATGCGAAAAATGTGTTTCACTTATGCTTTTTTTTGTTTTTTGATAATATTTTTATGCTTGGTTGTATCGTAAGTTGTGCAAAGCTTCGCTTTGCCTCTGTGTCAAAAGTTATGTCTAGAACCAAAACTATTGTTTTTTTCTTTTAGACTGAAATGTCATCCTTCATTTTGATTGACACTAAAATATGCTTTAAAAAATTATCATACGCCACCGAGGCTAACATTAAGCTACATTTTAGTGCTTGTCGGCACAAGTAAAAATTGGCAAAGTTTAAAGTGGTCGGAGTTTTCTGTGATAACTACAGGAACTGGCTATTCTTTTTTATTGCTCTCATTGCTTAAACAATTTTTTTTTCAGTTCTGTTGAGCCCTCATTAGTAAGAGTCGATGAACGTAAAAAGACCCTTATATAGGTCCTGGCGTTTTTTTCAGGAAAGGCTTGAGATAATCTGATAACTACAGAAGTGCATTCATGCATATTCAAATCCATCTGTTAGGAAAATTGCACTCCAGTTTTCTCAAGTGAGTTATTTTTTATCAAAAAAGTCCTTTTCACAAACAGTTCTTGAAATTCAAAGAGTCTATATATTTTTTTCTGTGAAATTTTTTGTCCAAAAAACGGCTTTTTTTCTGTTAAGGTTCCTCCAAATGGTTTTCCTCGAATGGATAATGCTTAAGTAAAAGGTATAGCGTGAGAAAACTTGTTGATAATCAAAAACCACATTTTTAAGGCTAGAATGTTCTCTGCGGCCTTGCGCAGCAAACAGTTACTTACTAATGTCAAATCAAATAATAACCTATGAATTACATCAGGCACGTGGGGAGATATGGGATTGAAAGATGGCCTGGAGTATCTACTAGAGGTCAGAGGTCAAGCTATGGACTTGGAAGTGAATGCTGGCGCGGACTACACGCCTTTGAATTTGATGTCAGACAAGGAGTATGATGAGAAAAAGGGAACTGTTCGAGATTTCCTGAAGAGCAACAAATTGGGCAAGTTCAGTGAAGACTACCAAGAGAAGAAGCAGAAGGAAATGGAAGAGCAAATGAACTTGTACGAACAACTCAAAGATAAAGTGAGTATTTTTTTAAGAAAGTTTGTAAGCCTCCGTTTCCTCTAAAATTGTTACCTAGTTTTTTGTTGAAAAATTGCTGTGTGCTGGGTGAGCATTCATAATTTAGTTTAAAGTTGAAATGTTTAAAGAACACTTGGTGAAATTTTTAAAGGGATTTAAGCTAAAGAAGGTTAAGTTTTCTAAGATTTGCAAGTTGATTCAAACTGGTTTGCGGTTTTATTTAATTTTCAGTCAAATGCGTTTACTGTTATTCGAGAAGCTATGATTATTAAAGTATATAGCACACTCTAGTCAGTTGGTTTGTCTTTGAAAAAAAAGGCTATGCCCCTTAAAATCCGTAAAAATCGAAGTATTATGTTGGGATTTGACCTTTTAATTCCAGGCTGGTCAAAGAGTTGAATTAGAAAACAGTCTGCGAGGAGAGCTGAAATACATCGGGGAAACTGACTTCGCCTCTGGCTTCTGGGCTGGCATCGCTCTAGATGAACCGTACGGAAAAAATAACGGAACGGTTGCTGGCCGAAAGTATTTCACGTGTACAGATAATTACGGGCTGTTTCTGAAGTTGAACAAATTTAAAGTTGGTGATTACCCGCCTATTGATGACGGACTTGACGATGACCCCGAAATTATTTGACGATCAAATAGAGTGAGGATCCTTCGGGTGCTGAATGTCTTGCAAATAATGAATTTGTCGGTACTAGTCTGATAGATGGGTGCGTCAGTTATAAGAGATCAAGTTAACATCCTCCAACCCCCTGTTCTGATTTCAAATAGAAACAGAAACATGAATTATTTTATTGCGTTCACAAAATGTGACGCCGCCGCCACCACAAAAGAAATATGTTTTTATTCCCTTGCAAAAGGAAGGGAAATGCTATTGGAATAATTCGTATAACGTTTTAAGCATTGAGAATTGAAACGACTATTCTCATTCAATGCGAATATTAACGATTCCTCTCGTAAAATACGAGCATACGAAACCTTCTTCTCGTAAAATACGAATGTACGAATAGAGAATACGAAGTTAAGAAGTAACTTCTCATTTGATACGAAAAGTGGCGTGATTTCCCCATCTGAGTATAAATAGAAGCTCAAAACTACGGGAATTCATTCCCAACAATATCTCTTCTAACACCAACGCCACTCTCTTCAAACCACCCCCAATCAATCTCTAAAAAATATCTCCAATCTCACCCTTAAAATAAATATAGAGTCAAAAGGCAACTAGCTGTAAATTCATACTAACTTCTTTTTTAATAAAATATTTCTCAGCGAATTTTAGATTTACTTTCTAAGATAGAAAGTAGAAAGGACCCTTTATTCCTAGCAAGCGTTTTGTCCGACGTCTATAGTTTTGCTAGCGTAATAAATTGGTGCGACCAGTGAGGCACACCTTCTAAAAATTCGCAAAAATTGCTAAAGTCTCAAAAAGAGATAAAAAAGCAAAGAATCCAATTCTCAAACTGGAGAATTGTTGAAATTTCTCTTACAAATAAAGAGAAGTAATAAATTTCCAAATCGGAAATTTAAGTTTTCTAAACAAATTTATAAACTTTTCTATCTTTCTTTTTAAAGTTTTAAACTAAATATAAAATGGCTGATACCCCAATATCCCATCCCAACTTGTCTTTAATGACATTTTCGGGAAACGATCCGAACCAAAATGCTACAGCATTTTGGAATTCAGTTGAAAACAAAATTCTTTTCTCATTAGGTCAAAGACCTGCTGATAATGATGCACGACGCAGCTATGATAGCAGACAACGATCCCTATTCGGATCATTGTTAACTGATACATCTCTTGAATGGTTCAATGATAATGTAACCAATGCTACCACATGGGCACAACTCAAAGATCTCTTCCTAAACAGATTCACTGACGGACGAGATCAATTCAAACATAGAATTGATGCTGAAAATGCAGCTCGCCAAGATGGCGAATTAATAAAAAATTATTTCCACAGAATCAAATCTTCTGTAGATAGAGGATGGCCCGAAAGTATTGATGTAACCGTTCATGCTACTGAAGATGCTCAAAATGCTGAGAGAACTATACAAACCAGACAAAGAAGTCAAAAATATATTGATTTCTCAATTAAGGGACTAAGACCTCTAGCCCTTAAACAAAAAGCTCATGAATACATGATAGAGCATCCAAATGCCAATTGGGATCAATTCACAAATCATGTAATCACTAAGGATCTAACATTCATTGTTGCTACTGATCCTGCTAATAAGTCAACAACGGATAAAATAACTTCATTAGAAACTCAAATTAAAGAACTAACTAAATTGATCAAGAATCAAGAAGTTAGTGCAATCAATGATCAGACTTCATTTCAACGACGTCACCCTGACATCAAGGGAAGACCTAATAGTACACGATTCTGCGAATATTGTAGAATGAATGGACATTCTATATCTAGATGATCAAAAAAGCAAGTTCAGGACGAAGTAAATAAGTTGCGGAAAGAGCTCACAACAAAAAATGAACGAAGAGTTTCATTTGAAACTGATTATAAACGAAATCGAAGACCGAATAACTTCCCTAACCAGAGTAACCCTAACCCAAGTAACCGGTTTTGGGATAACCAAAACAGAACTACTAACAATTCAAATCCTAGCCAAAATAACTATGGCATTCGCCATAATTATAACTATAACGGAAACAATTTCCAAAAGGCTAATGCACAATCGTCTTTCAATAACAAAAGACCCCAAACCTATGATGATAGGTATCCCAGAGAAAACAAATTCAGAGAAAATGAACAAGTTGCTAAACAGTTCTACGACCAAGAACATAGGCAATTCAATAGTAACCCTAGAGGTAGACCATATAACACTGGAAGCTATAATAGCAATAACAGTCGAGACTCAACGCGATCTCAATCACCAAATTTTAGATCGAATCAAATACAGTCTGAAACTACCCACTGGGTTGAGGAAGAAGTCAATTACTGTGATGCTATCACTGATTTCTTTCCTTTAAACTATTAAAGTCTCCGAAACCAAGCGATGATAGTAATCCTAAATCAAGGATATATCTTAGCTTATATCATTTTGCCACCGGAGACAAAAACAATAATAGTGGACTTGAAATTGAATTCATGATTGATCCAGGATCAACTTGTAGTATCATAAACTACCCAACTTATCAAGAATTGGAAAAATTAGGTCAAAAAATGACAATTTACCGATCCAAAATTAAAGCAAAGACTTATAATGGATCTGATATACGTTTGTTTGGCCATACATCTATTCAATCTTGTTTCGACACTGATGGAAAATATCCATCTAACCACAAAGTGTGGATAACTGAAGAAATAACTGCTAATCTGTTAGGAGTAGACTTTTGTCATCTCTTCTTAAAAGCTCTCTACTTTGATATCCCCGCAGTTGAGCTCAATTCAAAAGGTGTAATATCCTACGGGTTGATGAACAACGATAAAGAATATCCTAACGTTTCAAAAATTGTCTCAATTAACTTGAAAGAACCCTTGTTCATTCCAGCACGCTCTACATACTTATACAAACACTTGGCTGAACCAAATTCATACTTCGAAAAAGGGACTACTTTCCTGCCTCATAAAAATACAACCAAAACCGAATTGGTTTTCATTAATACAGTTTGTACTCAAATTGAGCAAAGCCTACCTATCCTAATTGAGAATCAGAAAGATCATCCTGTCACACTAAACAAGTGTGTACTAGGATATGCAGTAACTGATATTCAAGGAGACGAGGATAAAATATTTGCTATCCACGATTGTGATGAGTTCACCACGAGAATTTTAAACGAAAGTTCGGAATTCGATAGCTGTTTCATGCTGAACACTGTTGTCAATACAACACAGGAAAGCAATACTCAATTATCCGGCCCCTGTCTACAATATGTAGACTTCAAAAAAAGGTCCATATTCGAATCGAATATGCCCATTGCCCATACAATCTCTGCAGATAGAGCAATGAAAAAAGGATTTGCTGAATCAATTAGCAAAAGGTATCCTGAGCTACGACACTTTTGTAACTCAATACATGCTAACATTAACGATATTCTCATCTTCACTGATCCAAAATCTGGACAAATCATATATAACCTGATTACCAAACAGAGGTACTTTCAGAAACCCACTTCCGACGCTATATTCAATACCTTGTCCGAAATGAAAGATCATGCTATAGCAAATAACATTCGATCTATCGCAATGCCCAAAATTGCTTGTGGCTTCGATAAAATGAATTGGGAAGAAGTTTCCAAAATCATTGTCGATGTATTCCAACATTCTGGAATTACTATATTTGTCTATGTTTCAGGACAAGAAATCAAGGACATGTCTGCCCTTGAAGTGTTTGATACAGAGAATGTATCAGAAATATTTGAACAAATTGGTTCAGATATAGTCAAAGTATGCAAAAATGAAAACGAAATAGCAACTGACTTTTCTAATGATGCAAAGAACCTTTGCAGGCCTCCCTTGAAAGAACAATTTAAAAAGTACCGAAACAAAGAACATAATGATCGGCTAATTGCCTTTCTAGTCAACGAAACGTTTACCCAATACTCCTCAATTGATAAGGACAATAGTAGTACTTTGGAAAAAATTGAAACTACTATTAAATTTTTATCTGACTTCGATTTCACACAAAGTGATATATCGGATGATGAATTTGCAGATCTAATTCAAATGCTGATAGAGGATCAAGATGTTTATTCTCATCACAAATATGACATTGGAAAAACGAAGCATAAATTCCATATACCACTCAAAAAAGACGCAACGTTTAAAAAGCAACGGCCTAGTAAAATCCCAGTCCATCTAAGAGATAAATTGGACAAGTTAATGGATGAATTAATCCAAGCAGGCATAGTCAGAGAACTAAATGAAAAAGATGATATGAACTCATGGTTCGTAAATCCAGTCATCATTCTTCCAAAAAAAGACTACGTTAAGTTAGTCTTGGATGCTAGGTATCTAAACTCAATCACAGATACTAGCAATTGTAGTTGGCCATTAGAACCACTACAAGTTCTCATGACCCGAATAAACGGATCATACTTCACAAGTAGTGATCTCTCTTGCGCCTACCATCAAGTACCTCTAACAGATGAGGCCCAGAAATTAACAAGCTTTATTGTAGGAGGTAGACAATATACCTACCAAGTTGGTTTCTATGGCTTGAAACCACTTTCAAATTTCTTCAGTAAACTAATGAGATATGCCTTCGGACCCCTCATTAAAGAAAAAAAAGCAATTACTTACATAGACGACACTCTGTTACAGAGTCAAACTAAAAACGAAATGTTTGGCACAATTCGAGAATATCATTCTCTTTTACGGAAGGTCAACTTAAAAGCTGCCCCTGACAAAACCTTTTTCTTTCTAAGAAAAGTTAAATTTTTAGGCCACGTTGTCTCTAAAGATGGTCTTTCCCCAATCGCTTCACGAATTGATGACATAAAAAAATTGAAATCCCCTGAATCAAAAACAGTAGTTCTAGGAGTAATAGGTGTCATGGGATTCTTTAGCACATACATCATCAATTTTCATGTGGACGCAAAATGTCTATATGAACTGGCAAATAGTAGTGATAAGTTTCAATAGCTACCATGCCATGAAGAAGTTTTTCAAAAACTGAAAGACAAATTCTGTCATGACATTTTAAATGCCATACCTAATGTAAACTACCCATTCCACATTCACGCCGACTCCTCAAATGTAGGAACCGGGTGTATACTCATCCAAGACTTTCCTGAAGGGAAAAGAATTGTTTCTGCCAATTCTCGAGTCTTTGATAAAGCTGAGCAGAAAATGTCTACTCAACATCGTGAATTATGTGGAATAATATCTGCTTTGCAAACCTATGAATTCTACATTATAGGTTCACCCTTTCCTCTATACCTATATTGCGACCACAGACCTATTCTCTTCTTATGGTCCAGAAAAGGACAACTTTCTCATAGATTTTTCAAATATCAAGTCGTATTGACAAAATTCAGGACCGGATACTTGAAGACATAACTCCGGTCCATAAAGATCATGAATTCCATGGGCGTTAGATTTGCCCCTTTTTCTACTAATCCGTCGTAGATTTCCACCCTTCTCTCGACTTCCTTGTCCTCCTACAATTCCATCTAGTTTAATTGGCAAATTTAAAAAGAAATAAAAACACTAAACCATTTAATTGGCCAAACTAAATATTTTTTAAATTCTTTTTATTGGCCTTTTCTTTTTTTTCCCTTTTTCTACTTTATAAATATTTCATTTGTAATAAACCACAAAACACCAAAAATAACATAATAACAATTAGATTTTAAAATAACTTTTATAAATATAAGACTTAATATCGGT